AGAATGCTGTCACTTTAAGTATCCAAAATGTTTGAACCACTTGTGAACATTCAAAATGGCTGTGCCCTCTGGACAGGCAAAAGCCCACAGGTAAGTCTGCCTTCCTCTTCACTGCTTCCCCTTTTATTCACCAGCCACCAGTTCAGTCCTCCGTGCAACCCCTGGCTAGCAGGGCTGATTTTTTAGGTTAATTCTTAGGTACTAACACCACTCGGCAATATCCAATCTGTCTGCGCCATCAGGATCGCTGCCAGACTGCAGCTCCGTACGTGTCCGTTTTTGGTGATTTCATGCAAGTTCTTCTACTAGTTGGAGTTGGAGTTTAGTCCACTTCTACATCCTACCCTTCAAAGCTCAGGGTTCCAGGATTATCTTCTGTATCTGTGTTAATCGGTTCCCCTTTTCTTTGTTGAAGAGGGTCTGTGCAGTCTATTTGCCTATTCCACCATCTTACTGGAACTCCTGGTCTTCCTGTCTTGAAACCTCATATTCCACCAACCTTCTGTCACTTACCTTTTTCAAACAGTAGTGCCAGGTCCTCCTCACATTCTATATCCATTCACGGAAAAATTCTTGTGGTTCCTCAGACACTCCATGTGTTTCATGCCTTTGCTCTTTTACATATATTCTGCTCTCTCTTCCTGGAATATTTTTCTCCCCCACCTACCTGGACAAGTTTTATCCCTCTATACTCATTGCAAGCATTTTCTTCTTCGTGATCAACCCTCATCCTTTACCAACCCTTCTGCATCTAAAGAATTGAGCACTCTTTCTTTTAAGTCCTACCCATCATACTGTTTATAACTATTTAAAATGTTCTTCTATCTTCACTAGGTTGCAGGCAAGGACTGTATATCTTCTGCACCCAGACAGCACCTGGCAAGAAGTGAACTGTTGAACAAATCAATTATTCAGTAAGCCAGCACCTAAACATATAAAAAAAAAGTCTTCTCAAGTATGTGAGAAAGATGAATGAATGCCCCTTTCTGTTATGGTATCATCCTTTGTTTACTATATGTTAAACATATTTGTTAAAAATATCATTCCCTGTTTTAGTCCCCAGATATTCTGATGGGTGCCTCATGTGCTGCTGGATTTTAGAACAATAATGAAAGTCTTTGTTCTAAAGCAAGAACATCAGTAAACAACCATTGTGAAGGAATGTGGAAACTTTTCCTATTCCATTTACCAGTAACCCTTTGAAGTAAACATAACCACATGCCATATAATTCCTTGATTCATTCATCCATCTGTCTATCTATCCATCTCTTTCCTTTTCTATTTAACTACATGCCATTGAAGTAAACCAAAACTTTAGAGTATATACCATATAATTCATTCATCCATCCATCCAAAATGTTTTTAAAACTTCCTGCACTGTGCTAGGCACTCTTCAAGCAGATGAGAAGCAAAGGAAAAAACTGCATGTAAACTAGATTCTAGATTAATTGTATGGAGGATCTTTATGGCAGTGAAACTATTCCGTATGATACTGTGATGGTGGATACCAGTATGCATTTATCAAAACCCATAGAACTGAACAACACAAACATTGATCCCTAAGGTAAACAACGGACTTAAGTTAACACTGGTAATGTGTTAACACTGGTTCAACAACTGTAACAAATGTTCCACACTAATGCAAGGTGTTAATAACGGGAATTAGGAGCAGGGGAGAGAAGGGGTAGATGGGAACTCTGTATTTCTGCTCAATTTTTGGTAAGCCTACAACTGCTCTAAAAAATAAAGTGTATTCATTAAAACATACAAAAAATTTGTCACACAAACACTTGTCTAAGAAACTTCAAAATGAACAATACAGACCTGGAGAAAGTTTAACATAAGAGTGGAAATACAGCAGGGGTGGGGTGGAGGGTGAAAACCAGAGTGGAAAAGCGTTAGATTTCATCTGCCTTTTTCTCTTAATACTCATAATTCCTGATCACTGAATTAACATCATGTCCTTTTTGGTTCTTATTTTCCACGGAGGATTTAACTACAATTCTGAGGCTGAGCTGTGAGCCTCACGTGTTCTTCAGTGATTCTTTAATGTTCAGGTCACATGGCTGGGTTGGCATCACTTTGATCTGAGGGGCCCAACATCTGGCTATTTCCGAGGCTTACTGAGATGCTTCCCTTGCATTACACTGACCTTACGGAGAATTACACACGCTGATGTAGAACATCTGTTCTTTGATTTTTCTTCTCTCCTTTGCCCTCTAGAGTTCCACAGACTCTTTGATTTTTCTGTTGCTGAAGTATGCCCCCATTTTGCACTTTCTGTAACCTCTTGGCAATTGCCTTTTGGCTTATATTTCCTGAAAACAAGCAACCTAGTTTTTAGAAATCTGTCACCCCTACGTTCCCCTCAAACCAAAATGTAATACCACTGAATTGATTCCAACTCAGTCACCCTATAGGACAGAATAGAACTGCCCCATAGAGTTACCAAGGCTGTAAATCTTTAAGGAATCAGACTGCCTCATCTTTCTTCCATGGATCAGCTGATGGATTTGAACTGCTGACCTTTTGGTTAGCAGCCCACAGTCCACCAGAGCTCCTTTTTGAGTTCCCCTCAGGCAGGTCAGTTTTCTGGAGGCTATCTCTGTGGCTGGGGACAGTGAGCCAGGAATCCCTGAAGCACTGTGGAGAGTGTGTCAGGCAAGCCCAATTTCCGCTCCTTGAAGGCGGCTGCTTCCCCCTAGCTGGTTACAGTCTTTGGCGTACTTTTCTTTCTGACTACTTCCCTCGCCATCTTTCCTTGAATTCTCGATTACTTTTGCACTTCTTCACAATTATACAATACTTCCCCCCACATATCAAAAGTGGCAAATTTCTGCTCAGACAGTTGGACAGATAAGCCACCAAATGGGCTTCTAGGTGATGTAGCTTTTCCTGGGGCAACTGGGTGATCTGCTGAAGAGAGGGGAACTGAGGACCGAAGAGAGACAAAACAAAACAAAACAAAACAAAACGCTCTCTTTTCAATAGCAAATGTAGGCTGCTATTTTTGCTGGCTCCATGCAGGGGGTTCTGAGTACTGGGACTTGGCAGAGCCAGAAGATGGAAAGTGCCTGGGTCTGAACACCATGAACATAGTCTTCACTGAATACACATAAGAACCAGCCTTCTATTGTCTTAAGCTGCTGTAATATGTGGGATTGTTATACCAGTGGTCAGCTTACTAATACAAAAGAGATACGAACATTCACAGATCTTCTAGGGGTGTAGGGCACTAGCCTGTTTCTCCCACATGCCAAGGAATCAAAGCTGTGCAAGGCAAGACTCTACTACTGCTCTGCATTCTTAGTAAGACAAGGGCTTCAACAAGAAACACTCACTGGTGGATCCTTTGCTGGCTGAAAGGGGCAGTGTAGCAGTCATTCTCCTCCAGGTCTGGCAGTGTCTCCTTGTCCAGCCTCATTGGCTTCTTGGGTAACCATCTCCGAAACCTGCTTATTTGTTTATCGATCCTGTGGTACATGAAAGGCAAGATCAAAGGGTACAGCATGTCAGCATTGCTCCGAGGCACAGGAGGGAAGTCACTACAGAGCTTCATCATGACACCGCACAGTCCAGGTACTCTCAATGACACTCATGACATCCTCATTTAACAGATGAGAAACCCAAGGCCCCACAGAGAGAGGAACAAGGTCCCCCAGTAAAGAAGAGTTGAAATGCCAGTATCTTTCTGTTTTACCAAGTGGCTTCAAGGTGATTGTTTCTGAAATAGCAACCATGATTGACATGTCCACCCACATGCCAATAAATGAGGATGTAGTCAGAACAAGACTGAGAGGTTCTAAAGGGAAGGTGACCTTTCCTTAAGAAAGAGCAGTAGAGCCCTTAACTCCTTCCATTCTGTAGATTCTAGAAACTCATTTTATCTTGCAAAATCTCTCCCTCTGAAGGCAGGGAGGAACTCTTGCTGTAATTCACCAGGGAGGGTGCTGACAGCACATCCCAGTGTGATGAGTGTGCACAGTCTGATGCAGCATTTACTTCCTGCATTCTACATCTTCCCCGAAGACCCTCTCAACAGACAGCCAGCTCTGGGGTTTTTACTGCTGTCCTTTTAAGCTGACTTTTTTTTCTGAAAAATAAGAATTGCTGTCCATTCCGCACCATGAAAACTGGGGCATCACAGGCACAAGTGACATTGGTCACTTTGGCCAATGCACATGGTAATGCCAGGTCAAGGAAAACAACAGTGCCTAAAAATGGTTTTCAAGCCACAGTTTCTTCCCTGGGTTCTTCACTATCTTCTCTGTCCCTCTGATTTCAGCTGATAAAAACTGGTTTGCACTTCCTCACAATTACCCAATACTTCCCCCCACATATCAAAAGTGACAAATTTCTGCTCAGTTGGACAGATAAGCCACTAAATGGGCTTCTAGGTGATGTAGCTTTTCCTGGGGCAACTGGGTGATCTGCTGAAGAGAGGGGAACTGAGGACTGAAGAGAGACAAAAAATAAATAAATAAATAAATAAAACTACTAGAAGGAGCGAAAAGCACTAGACCGACAAATGATTATGTTACTTCACATGTCTATGAGGAGCTCTGGTGGTGTAGTGCCTAAGGCATTTGACTGCTAACCAGAAGGCTGGCAGTTCAAACCCACCAGCCACTCTGTGGAAGGAAGACTGGGTAATCTACTTCTGCAAAGATTTACTGCCTTGGAAACCCACAAGGGGTCACTCTGAGTCAGAATTGACTCGATGTCAGGGAGTTTGTTTTTTTGGCTTTTTTTCAGGTGTTTATACCACTCTGAAAAGTATTTTTTCCAAGAGCAGATCTCAAGCAGCATCTCTGCAAGGTAGATGGAACAGGACTCAGACTGTACAAATATTATTTTCATGATGTAAAAGAGAGCCATGGGTGCCCAAATTATACCGCTAGTAAGTAAAGCCAGGATTTTAGGGATTGTCCTATAAAAGTAGCTGATGATAGGGAAAGGGCTGCAGGGGAATAAATTCCTTGGAAGAAGAAAATATTGAAATGGCTTCTATTAACTAAAACACATGGGATTTGGGTATGCTTTTTCCCTTCATTAAAAAATTATTTACATAGCAATTTGTGCTTTGCAGATGCCCTTGAGTGGTACAAATGGTTAATGTGCTGCTAACCAAAAGGTTGGACGTTTGAGTCCGCCCAGAGGTGCCTTGGAAGAATGGCCTGGCCAGCAATCTACTCCTGAAAAATTAGCCACTGAAAACCCTGTGGTGCAGAGTCCTGCTCTGACACACACAGGGCCACCGTGAGTCAGAGGTGACTAGATGGTAACTGGGCACGTGGAATTTATCCTTTCAGTCAAACTCACAGGTGGAAGGGTACTTTTTACACAACAGATCAACTTCAAACTGAAAGATGATGGTGAACTCCTCTTACTACCTCCTTTGTTTTCAGCATTGTTCCAGTCTCACCACAAGCCTGCCTCTGCTTGGAGGTGGCTGCCCTTTTTCAGAATCCCTAAATGTTCAAACCAGAATCAGCCAGCTTCTCTAGGCCCCTCCCCTCAACATCACCCTCACTGTGCACACACGCAAAAGTAAAGACTCGACCCAGGGTCACAAAGCCCCAAGTCCAAAGCAGGGTTTTCAAGACAAAGGGTTTAAGTTCCTGTCTCCTGCATCTTCTTGGTCCTCCCCTGCCTAGTCATCCCTTTGAAGGCACTTAGAATACAATGAGAGGAGCAGCTTCAGAGTTTTGTTCAGTGTCTGAGGGCATGAACTTTGGGCCTGGATGTCTGGTTCAAATCCTGCCTCTGTAAATATTACAAATGTGACCATGGGAAGGTTATTTAACTCTGTTGTGCCTGTTTACTTACCTGTAAAATGGGCAGGATAATGATGCCCCATTCATACTGCTATTGTAAGGATTAACTGATATACAAACATAACTGTATCTTATTTATCTACCTATCTATAAACCAAACCAAACTCACTGCCATTGAATTGATTCTGACTCACAGTGACCCCCATTGGGTTTCTGAGGCAGTAAATCTTAATGGAAGTAGATTGCCCCATCTTCCTTCCACAGAGCAGCTTCTGGGTTTGAACCACCATCCTTCTGGTTAGCAGTCAAATGCCTTAGGCACTGTGCCACCAGAGCTCCTTACATATACATACATACACACACACACACACACACACATATATACACATAGAGACATATGTATGTGTGTATATGTGTATGTCTCTTGGAGCTCCGGTAATGCAGTGGTTATAGCATCCCGCTGCTAACCAAAAGGTCGGTGGTTTGAACCCACCAGGTGCTCCTCTGGAGAAGATGTGGTAGTCTTCTGTAAAGATTTACACACTTAGAAACCCTCTGTCCTATAGGGTCACTATGAGTCAGAATCAACTTGATGGCTCTGGTCTCGGTTTATAAAGTTTCGAGGACAGTATCTGGCACAGGGTCAGCCCCAGACAAAACCAAATTCACTGCCATCTAGTTGATTCCAACTTGTAGTGACCCTATAAGACGGAGTAGAGCTGCCCCATGGGGTTTCCAAGGCTGTAAATCTTTACTGCCACATCTTTCTCCCATGGAGAGGCTTGTGGGTTTAAATCGCTGATCCCTTGGTTAGCAGTCAAGTGCTTTAACCACTGCATAGTCAGCACTGGCTTACTAATAAAATTTTTCCTTTTTTCTAAAATATGAGAATTTGAGCAACCAACTTGCCTTTTTAATAGTTTTATCTTTTTGCTTCAAAGTTAACTGTGTTTCACTAGCATCTATCACTTGTCCAAATTCAATGATGTCCTTAAATGGACTCATAAATTGAATTTCATAGGCTAAACTGGTGGCCTTCCCATTGGCTCTTGGCTTTATTCTGTCTGATTGCCTTAAAACTCATTCAAAAAAGAGGACATTGGCCCAAAGCTGTTTTTTTTTTTAAATAATAGAGCTTCTATCTCCCACATGACTGCAGTCTGTAGCACTAATCGGATTACATTTTGTGAAGTTCCCATCCTCACAGAATCCGGGCTCTGCGAGCAACGACTGTGAATTAAATCCAGCTGGGTACAGTATTCAGCACATCCATGGGTAAAAACAAATAGAGCTATAAAAACTCAGACATAAATACTCTATGGGCTAAAATGGCAGCTGTCAACAACCAGCTTATGGCACCACAATTTAAATGAAATGTGGAGATGGTGAAGCGAGAACAGAACAAGGTAATCAAAGCTAATTAATTAATTAAAAATGAAAAAGGCAAATGGAACTGAAAATGAAGTGAGGGAGGAGGCTTGGCATGGTGCAAAGAAGCTGAGAATTGCAATTGTGAAGCCTAAAACCTGGCTGTTGCTTATTACCTGTGTGACCTTCCACAAGCCACTCACTTTACTGTAGGGTTATAAAGTGGGGTAATAATAATATGTTATGCATTGAATAGTGTACCCCCCAAATATGTGTTGGAATCCTCTTATATCTGTGAAAGTAATACTGCCTGGGAATGAGATTTTTTTTTTTTTTTTTTTTCACTCTCTTAACGAGACCCTATCAGTGTAGGAGTTGTTCTAAGCCTAAATGCTTCTGAGTTGTAAGGAGTAGCATTAAATACAGAGACAAGCAAGCACAAACAGGGTGAGACAGATGCCACGTGGAGATGGTAAAGCCTGCCAAGGAACCAAGGAATGCTGGAAGAGACAAGGATATTCCCCAAGAGCCTACACAAAGGGATCTTTCGTCTAGAGCTGGTGACCTGAATTCACACTTCTAGCCCCTAAACAGTGAGAAAGCAAACTTCCATTCTGTAAAGCCACTCACTTATGGTCTTTCTGTTACAGCGGCACAAGAAGGCTAAGACGCTGACTTACCAACCTCGCAGGGTTGTTAGGAGGCTTATGAAATGGTGTCTATGAAATGCTTCCAGGCAAGGATTATTGATAACTTGTTGGGGCTAAAGAACTAATGTAAAAGTGATAGAAAGTAGATGAACTAGGCTTTTTAAACATGATGGTGGAAGAAAGCCATTCTACATAGTATCTTGAGAGAACAGACCCTGCCTGGGGTGGAGGATGGAGAACATCAGCTGGCCTTCACTGAGACAGCTCAAGCAGAAGCAGGTGGAGAGAGTTTGGCTCACCCAGATTCCATCACACACTCCAGTCCATGCCACAGTCACAATGACAGAAACAAATGCCCAAATGCATCAGCAGTTTGTGTTTCCTATGGTGGCCGAGTTGTCTGCAAAGATGCCCATAGCTTAATGCCCAAACCCTGTGATTATGTTACGTTATGTAGCAAAAGAGACTTTGCAGACTTAAGTAAGGTTAGAGACCTTAAGATAAAGGGTAAACCAAACCAAACTCACTGCTGTTGAGTTGGATCCGACTCACAGCGACCCCTCCTTGGGTTTCTGAGGCAGTATCATTA